TATGAGCAGAGGCCCGAAGTCCATCCACTTCCGCAGTGTATTGCCATATAAATATATGTTTAACTCAGTACCTCTATTTTTATGAAACAATGCATTTATGTATGTACATACCTATGCTTATACCTCTATCCATAGCTTTTCTTCCTAGATTAGTCCTCTGTTTCCTATTATCTTCCTCCTGCCCCACCATCAAGCTCGCTCTACTTGCACTTCAGTAATTTCTCTCAGTCGATTACTGTTGATACAACACCCCCAGGATCTCTTCATCCCTCTTGTTGATTTTAATTCCCTAGTTCCCCTGTCTGTGGCTTTTGCTCCTTTCTGCCACCTCCTTCTCCCCAGTTCCTTCAGGACCATCAGTCCCATTGCTTTTTACTCAACATTGCTTCTCATGCCTATCTTATATAAGCAGGCAACCCAGCATTAACAGACTGAACAAAAAGAAAACCCAAGATTGAAAACAGAGAGAGAAAGAAAAAACAAAAACATAATCCCAGGTGTATCCGCTGACCTTTATGACTGTTTCTCCACGTGTCCTGGGGGAATTCTGGGAGCCGATCCTCCTAGCCTCAAGTCTATTTTTGGGACTATACAGAGGTTTTGTGGCTTTGCTTTTGCTCCTGTTGCTGATTTGCCGTGTGACCCCAGTATTGTCCTCTGTTGCGGTATGATCCAGTGAGGGGACATCATGTCTTGAGCTGGTGTTGGCCCTACGTCCTCTCTGTGCCTTAGCAGCTCCGTGCAGGAAAGTCGCCCTCTGGGCTTGGTGTGCCAGTGTCTGGATTTTCCCTTTCTCTTTTTCCTTCTTGGTTTGTTTCTCCTGAATGGAAGAAAACTGGTAGTGTAGTTTTCATATATTGATAAGAGTTGTGCCCTCAGAATTAGTCTTAATTTTGAAACATTTTGGAGCAATTAGTAGTCAGCCCTCATCCCTCTATTTCCCAGAACTAATGTATTGACAGAATAGCGGTTCTCTGTAGATTTGCCTTTTCTGAACAAAACAATATAAATGGAATAATAATTTGTGGGCTTTCGGTCAGATTTCTTTCACTTAGTGCTGCAATCTGAGATTCAGTCATTTATCAGTACTTTGTTTCTTGCTGAGTAGTATTCTGTATCATTTTTTCCTGAAAAGTATTTATACGTGAAATCATCTCTCTTTAATGTTTGTCTTTTGAATTGATTGTTAATAGATTGCTAAGTATTATAGCAGTGGTTGAGTTAGCTTCTCAATGTTTATATTATGTTGGCTAACTTAGCTTCTATAGTAAATCACTAAGGTATGAATGTGTGATTTAAAAGGACTTAAGGGCAACTCCTACTTGCCCTTTCGTGTTAAGTACATTTACCGTCAATTTGAAGTGACTGAAGCAACCCCTGCTCTCAACTGATGCGTCAAGTCTCTTCTTACACTGAAATAAGGCTAAATAAGACCTATGTACCTTGTTCTGACTTACCCAGAAAGACAAAAGAAAGTGTTCCAAAATTTATTGTGGTAATGCTTGTATGACTCTTCTTGTGTGACACGTGGATTAAGTGCCAGTAATACGGTTTTTAAAAAAAAGCACTTATGAATGGTTCTTAATTTTTTGCTTCAAATTTGAAATAAGTTGTACATACTTTGTGTTCCTTACTTAACATATTTAATTTTTCTTAAAAATGTTACGTTAAAGTTAGTCAATTGATTTAAACATGAGCCAGAAATTAATAGTGTATTAAAGACACAGCAACCCAGTAATACAGTGGCTTACCGAACAAAAAGTTAATTTTTTTCTTATTTGATAATTTGTTTTGTGCATTACCTTAATTTCTTGGACAGATCTGCTTTATATGATTATCTAGGGGCCCCATTGCATTCTTTCTTGTACTACTACTGCTCCTTAGGTTACTAGAGACTCGATTATCCCCCTTGTAGTAATTGGGTTGCTGGTATAACATGGTATCCGCCTAAAAGTAAAAAGATCTGTGCTGATGGTGTGTCCAGACATGGAGATTGTACACAGGCATGCTTTACAGATAAATGCAAACAAAGTGAGTCACATGTATTTTTTTTTTTGTTCTAGCATATATAAAATTTTGGTTGCAATATACTGTAGGATATTAGCTGTGTACATTGGCATTATGAAAAAGTCTGGTGTGAGATGTCAAAATGTGACACAGACAAGAAGAGAATACATGGTGTTGATATTCATGGTTGCCACGCCTCAACGTGTGAAAAATTTCAGATTTACAAAGATAGACTTGGAATAACTACAGCTTAGTTGCTTAGGAAGGTAACTAGCCATGCATTCCATCCATGTTACTTGATGCTCAACTACCAATTTGTTCAAAGGTTCTATTGCAGAATCCTGATCAAAAGGGGTAAATGGAGAAAAGAATTTCAAATTTTGAAGGACCTAACATTTTCTGGACCCATGCAAACTGGATGAGCCCTGAAACTATTGTCATGAGATTATCTTTAAACCTTAGACCAAGAATGTCCTCTGAAATCATCTTGGAGAGCAGCCCTTGTGGGTTTCTGAGACTACCTCTTTAGGGAAGCAGAAAGCATCCTTGTTGTCCTGCAGAGCTGCCTGGTGGTTGGATTCCTCACCTTGTGGTTAGCAGCCCAGCAGATAACCACTACACATCCTGCTGTTAGGTGCCATCAAATCCGACTCAGTGACCCCATGGGTGATAAAGACACCATGTACTGTTTGAGCCCATTGTTCCAGCCATGTGTCAGTCCGTCTCCATGAGGGTCTTCCTTTTATAAAACTACCCTTCTACTCTGTGAAGAGTGATGTCATTTTCCAAGGATACCTGATTAGGTGTCCAAAGAATGTGAAATGAAATTGAGCTAGCCTAGCCTTGTTTTTAGGGAGCGTGGTCTGGCTGTACTTTCAAGACAGGTTTGATTGTTGTTTTTTGACAGTCCATTGTATTTTCAGTATTCTTTACCAGCACCATCAATCTTTCCCAGCCTTCCTTTAATGCCCAAGCTTCACCAGCATATGTGGCATTTGAAAATATAGCACATGGTTTAGTTCAGGCGCATCTTAATTCTCAAGGTAACATCCTTACTTTTCAGCACTTGTGCAGCAATTATGTCCAATGTAATATATTGTTTGGTTTCTTGACTGTTGCTTCAAAGAGCACCAGGAGCCCTCCTGGCACAGTGGTTATATATTGGTATACTAACTGCAAGGTTAGCAGTTTGAAGCCACTCTGTGTTAAAGACTGTTTACTCCCATAAAGAGTTATAGCCTTGAAACCTACAGGGGCAGTTCTACTCGCCTTATAGGGTCTATATGAGCTAGAATCAACTGTGTGGTAGTGAGCTCTTTTATAAGCATTGATTGTGATCGAAGCACGATGAAATTCTTTCTCCCTGTCTCATGAAGCAATGGTTGTAAGGAACTTACTTTTTTGGGCTAGAGTCAGAATTAATGTGGTAAGTGATTGGTTCATTATAGAGTAAACCGATATAGACAAAAAGTTAACTTCATCTTTTTTTGCATTTGGTTGCTTAGGACTTTTAGTTTGTATTTTGCTACCCATTTCCTGAAATGGTTCATTACCTATTAATAGTAAAATACATTAATTACAGGATCAGAAGTGTGTCTTCACTCTAGGGAGAAATACCTGAATTAAATTTTGTGGTAATGAGAATTTGATGAAACTATAAATTAAAACAATTTGTAACGGACTATAAAGTACAAGACAGAGATGGGAGATGTGTCTTATTTTACAAGAACCACTGTATGTTATAGTGATAAAAATTCCAGCAAAAGGAATAAACCTTGTTCTGTACAGCACTCTTTGGTTAGTGTTTGCAAATTCAGGAAGGCCAAGATTTGCTTTGAGCAAAATGAAAAACTCGTAAGTGTACCTGACTGCCAATGTATAAGTTTTTTTTAGTGATGGAGTAGGTGCAACTTTTATTTCCAAAAAGATACTTAAGTAGAATCTCACTTGTCAGTAAAGAATTTGGTTAAGTGAACTTCATGTAGATAAAAATTATTTACAGATGTTGTATAATACTTTAATTGGATGCTTGGTTTCTTCACCTTTGTGGTTGGGTGGGTGAAATGATAACTTTTCAATTGGGACATTTTCAAATGCTTTTTTTTAACAAAAGCAGTTTGTCTTAATTTAACAATTATTTTGGAGTGTGCTTTTTCAAAGTGAAGTATTTCTTGTCTACTTTGTTACATTTGTTTCTCATTATTTTATGAACTAGGCAATAAGACTTTTTTTATCTCGACTTTACAGATTATAAAGCAGAGACCCAGTGGGGAACTCAAACAAGTTCTCATGAGTAACTTTTAATCGTCTTTATTCATATTATTTTTTAAAAAAAAGTTTACCTTTCAAAATGACCTGTTTAAAGTAGAATGATAATATTTTATGAATTTATTATTTTTTCCAGTATTCCTGTGAGTCACACTGGCAGGAACTTTAGAAACAGTGCTGTAGGCATTTAGCTTCACTTTGTGCCATGATGTCATTGGCAGTAGCATTGTGTTATCTGTGCTAGTAGAAGCAATAGTTCACCTTAATAAGTAAGACCTGCTATTCAGGTATTATTAAAAAACCACATTTGAAAAATAAAATCCACTAACTTTTTTACACTTTTTGGCCTGCCCTCTGGTGGATAAATTACCGAAATTACCAAACAGGGAACACAAAAATGTATATAGATGTTTATGTATATTATGATTACATAACCTATAGATAAATTAGTTTATGAAAAATGTAATAAATGTTCATAATTTTCGGTTTCATTTGTAGTCTTGGCTTAAAACGTTCAGTGTGTGCAAATAAGAATTCAAAAATTTAAGAATGCATTGATTAAAGATAGCATATTTCACAAGGCAATTGCTAATTTTAAGTTGCTATTTCTCAAGTGCCTTTTGTTGCTTCTAAGGGTCTTATTGAAGTATCACAAAATTTAAAAAAGGAAAATGAAGACTTTAAGAAGAAATACGATGATGCTACATCCAAAGCTGCCCAACTTGAAGAAGATATTGTGTTGGTGACACACAAAGCAATTGAAAAAGAAACAGAACTGGACAGGTATTTCTGAAACTTTAAAAAGATAGCTTTAAAAGGTGAAAAAATGTTTTAACAGTGTCAATTTTTATTTTATTAATACTATTTGATCTATATTCAGCTTAAAAGACAAACTCCGGAAGGTACAACATGAACGAGAACAACTTGAAAGTTACTTGAAGACAGAAAAGGACGAGAAGGAAATGTATAAGGTAGTTTACTTTTTGTGTTTCCCTTGGCTATTTCTTGCTGTATAAAATCACCCCAATCCTCTAGGATAGGAATTTGGGGAGTTATCTGAGTGTCTCTAGCTCCAAGTCTCTGCAGTCAGCCAAAAGCTTGGGTGAGGCTGAAGAATATGCTTTCAAGATAGTTCTCTCATGTGACTTTTGGACCGAGGCCCATTGGTTCCTCACCATGTGGCTACTTAAATGTCCTTGTACCATTGCAGCTTACATTCCACCCAGAGCAAGATAGAGCGAGGATGAAATCACTGTGCTTTCTGTTACTCAGTTTCCTAGACCGTACACTTTCTGAAATGAGGGATATCAAGAGTATTTGTGGATATATTTTAAAACCATCTTGTTGTGCATATGGACTCCAAAATTAATTGGTAGGGAATTACTGTTATATGACATATTTAACAGCTACTACATAATAAATCAGAGGTTTAATTGTAAGAAGATCCCCAAGAGTCACTATTTTAGAACAAATATGATGGTAGGTCAAAATCTCCTGCTTTAAAATCATAGCCATCTCCTAAAAATCAATATATAAAAGTAATTTTATTATATATTAGCAATACAGTATTAGTATTAAACTTTTTTTACAGTTTTATTAGCATATAATCCATATACAATTCAAGAGCTCAATCATACCAAAAATTGTACAGTCACTACCACAGTCAATTTTAGAATACTTTCTTTTTTTCATGATTAAATAGCTTTTAAAATTAAATCACTTTTAAAAGGAGTTGTGTAATAACATTCAGTTCTACTGAAAACCAAATGAAGACTGAGCATGATAGTGGGACAAGAGGAAAGTCAAAGGAATTAGAGGAAAGAACTAAGAGGCAAAGGGCATTTATAGAGGTCTAAATAAAGGCATGTACATATGTAAATATATTTATATATGAGGATGGGGAAATAGATCTATGTGCATATATTTATAGGTTTAGTATTAAGGTAGCAGAAGGACATTGGGCCTCCACTCAAGTACTCCCTCCATGCAAGATAATTTCTTCTATTAAATTGGCATTTTATGAGGCTCACTTTCCTGACACAATCGCTGAAGACAAAGTGGGTGAAGAAGCAAATGTGGTGAAGAAAGCTGATGGTGCCCGGCTATCAAAAGATATAGCATCTGGGGTCTTAAAGGCTTGAAGGTAAACAAGCGGCCATCTAGCTTAGAAGCAGCAAAGCCCACATGGAAGAAGCACACCAGCCGTGTGATCACGAGGTGCCGAAGGGATCAGTTATCAGGCATCAAAGAACAAAAAATTATCATTATTGTATGCTCACCTCCCTGATACAAACACTGAAGACAAATAGGTATATACGCAAATGTGGCGAAGAAAGCTGATGGTGCCCAGCTATCACAAAATAAAGCGTCTGGGGGCTTGAAGGTAAACAAGCGGCCATCTAGCTCAAAAGCAACAAAACCCATATGGAAGAAGCACACCAGCCTGTGTGATCACGAGGTGTCGAAGGGAGCAGGTATCAGGCATCATCAGAACAAAAAAATCATACTATAGTGAATGAGGGGTGGAGTACGAAGCGAAGACCCAAAGCCCATTTGTAGGCCACTTGACATCCCCTTACCGAAGGGTCTCCTGGAGGAACACCGGGTTTAGGTTTGGTCCCTGTTTCCCTGTGGGGATATAAGCAATACCCTCCCCTTGGATGTGTTAGTGTCCTATTCCTGTGCTACACATTTCTATCTTCCCCCTCCTTTTTAGTTGGCTACCATATGTACTCCTGAATTTGGTCTGACCCCTCCCATACTACCTGGACCTCACCCCAGGAATGTTTGTATATAGTAGCCTTTTCCTTATACCCCTTTTGCATGAAACATTTTTAAATTTTTATTTTAAAGCTTACTATAGTGGACTCGTTGTCCATGTCCATTTGAGTTTGGTTTACTTAGTCTAATTTACTTAGCATTATTTCCTCCATTTCTTCCCATGCGGCTATATGTTTCAAGTGTTTGTCACTGCTTTTTAGTGATGCGTAGTACTCCATTGTATATATGTACCACAGTTTTTAATCCATTTGTCTGTTCATGGAAATTGGGTTGTTTTCAACTCCTTGTTATTGTGCACTGTGCCACAATGAAAATTGGAGCACAGATGTCTGACCATGGTTTGGTTCTTGCCTCTTCTGGGTATATGCCCAGTAGGGGGATTGCTGGGTCGTATGGTAGCTCAATTCCATCTGTTTAATTTTTTT